GTTTTGAGGCTCAGGGTTTAAGGTTTGGGGTTTAGGGCCCTATGGCATTCGCATGCTTGCAGATTCTCAGGGTCAGCCACACAACATCCCTGGCGAAATACATCAAACGCTAGGTAGGCATATTACAAACAGCTAGTGCTGCATATACAACAAGCTATAAGGCTATAGGAGACTAAGCGGTATAACATGGTTGTGACTTGGGATTGGCCTACCCAGGTCACACAACCTTCATGAACCTAAACTCTGAACCCTAAACCCTAAACCCTGAACCCCAAGCCCCAGATCCCAAGTCCTAAACTTTTTAACCAATGGGAGGCCAGGCTTGCTGGTTGTCAGTAGGGAATCATGAAGTCTAACCCCAATATCATCCCTATATAATATAGTCCCATACGTTGTTAGTAGGGAATGATGGACTATAACCCCAAGATCATCCCTATCTAATATCTTCCCATACTCCCTACTAAGAACCTAAACCCTAAACCCTAAATCCCTAAACCCTACTAGGAACCAGCAAGAACGTCTGGGCGAGGAACAAATCTGCCCTGACCGTGCATCTTCCCCTGCTCAAAGTTACCTTCGTAGGAGCTGCCGTCGCTCCTCGTCAGGGTTTTTTCAACCCCCTTTTCCAACTACACGCAGAGGGGTTTAGGGTTTAGGGTTGGGGTTTAGGGTTTAAGGTTTTTGGTTTGTTTAGGCTTTAGAAAGTATGATAGGCAATTTGGGTTTAGGGCCCGGACACTCGATTGGAAAAGAGAATGGAAACAAGGTGCTGGGATACGTACATGCATATATGTATGGGTTAAATTGAAGCGTCTACTTCCGGATAGTATCGTATCAGACACGATCACCTGATGCTCCTTTTTTGGAGTTCAGTATGAGTATGAAAAATCATACCCAACCATAACCGAATGAAGCAGCGTGCAAGATGCTTTAACGTTTAGGGTTTAGGGTTTAGGCCCTAAACCCTAAACCGGAAACCCTGAATCGCGTGATTCTAGACAAAGAGTCATGCAGGCACTCGCGGCGACAAAAGGTACTCGGGTGTGTAGGCAGCAGCTGTAGGCTTAGAGAATGGGATGAGGCGCTGGAGAGATACTGGGTTGCTGTTAAGGAGCTTAAAACAAGTTGACACAGTATGAGTAACTACATGATACAAATAGTCGGCCTTCCTTATTTTAGTGATTCAATTGGAGTTCCGTAACAGCAACCCAGCTCATGTGGACTAAATGCTGCCCGAATGCTGCTATCCATCTATTGGTGGCAGACTGGACTTCAACGACAGATTTGATAACGTAACCCTGCTCTAGACTTATTGACCCCTCAAGCGCCAAGCAAAAAATGAAAAGGACAACGAACATGGAAATTCCCCCAAATCATTCAGACTGGACGTCAACGACAGATTCCATAACGCAACAGTGCCCCCGAATTTGTAACCCCTCAAGCGCCTGAAAATCAAAAAGAACAAAGGACACCTGAAAGGAACCCACAATCGACATAGACGTTTCTCAAAATCATGCAAAAGAATCCTTGAGGGGAATTCTGAGTTTCCTATGTCCCTCGGATCTTTTTGGGGAAGCTTCCACATGGGAGTTCCTCCAAATCACCCCCAAATAACATAATCCCTTAGAAGGATCCAGAGAGTCCTCTTAGACTTCCTAGGTATCCTGCTGCATGACCTTCGTACACTGGAATACCATTATATATCCCCAAGCTAGAATGTATTGAGGGTCATGCAGGATTTTTAGTATCCACCGTAGGGTCCCTAGGATAACCCCATTTTAGAGACACTCCCATATAACTCTTAGCCTTAATCCTAAATATATGATCATGCTGCTATGCAGGTCAGGTTCCATCGGTAGCTGCCCTCGCCACATGGCGCATCCTCTTCCCAAGCACCTGATGCTGTTCATGACAGAGATCCTGCATCATCCCGAGCGCAGGAAAATGGGCAGCTTAAGGGTCTTAGGTGGCGTGCAATTCCCTTCATCGACAGTACGGAATCAGGAGTGCAGAGAAAGCTTGTTCAATGCAACCACCTTGTGAGGACAGCGCCTTTTGCCACACAAGCCCCCTTGTAGGGCTTAGAGTTTGGGGTCAAGTTGCACAAGTCATCCCTGATATCTGGATTGCAGCGCTGCCATCAATCACCGCCGTGCTCAAGGTGGATGCTGGGTTGCATCTTGCTGTTCTGAGCTTTGAAAGCCAGGAGAAAATGCCTTACAAGGACATGGCTCTTTTCAGACTGGGCGGAGTTCCTCCCAAGTGCCTGCAAATTCTATATAGCCAGCTTATACCATAAGCTAAAACTGCCCCATGTATCAGAACTTCGATGTCGTTGGTTGTTGCTGTCTATCTCCTACTTCCCCCTAAACACGCACCAGGGGATGCGACGACAGCCTTTATAGCACTCCAAGTAAAACGCCACATGGTGTGTCGTAATAGGTCTCGCCCTAGGCCCCAAACAGTGCGTGCAACATATCAGGTACATAATCCAGTACAAAGATGTAAACTCAAACCCATGACCCAGACACCCAGACAGAAGTCCTCAATGCTACTGGTGGTTTCCGTACATATGGTACCCCTAATCTTGGGAAACCCCTACTGATTTTCAAGTCTGATGGATTGAATGCCCAATGCAGGTGGAGCTCCAATCATCCAATCCGTACATGAGCTACGGTCTAAACTCCTTAAATAGGTAGCTATACAGGGGATTATATGGGGGAGAAAAAGCGGGGATATAAAGCGGCACACTATGCGTTTAGACCATGGCGTACAGAACCTTGCACATTCGTTTGAAATCCCTTACTTGAAGGGTCAGGGGGAATTGGTGGGTATATCGCCAATGCTTTAAGGGGGGGGTGGGGGGGATGTGAAAATGGCTGGAGTCATTTTCGACGTGCCCCCTGTCTTCCTAAGACCTCTACTTGGACACCTTACCAAAAAACGCCAAGAACCCAGGCCATTTAACGTCCCCCCCCCTGCAAAGCCATTTAATCCACCTCAACATGTACCCTAGAGATTTCCAACTAAAGTGGCTTGGAGGACCTCTCACGTCTATCAAGCCATTTTTTTGACCCCCGTAACATGTACCCCATAGATGTCCCAAACATGGCTTTGAATATATGGCTGAAGCACGTACCCCCCCCCAAAGCCAATATTAAGGATGGGTGATGTAGGTATCCTGATAACCTCATGGGTTCCCCTACTACCCCACATGCCATCCCCTGAGGTTTCCCCTCAATTACGGCTATTTCAAGGATACTTTAGACTACTCAAGGCTAAGTTATAAAGGGGAACCTAGGCGGGGGGTAGTATAGCGGAGTAATAAGGGGACCCATGATGCACCCTCCTCCAAGCCGCGGAATTGACCCAACTATCCGCATCATTCAGCCCTCATTAGGATCCCACATACAATCCCGAAGCCCCTCCACCCCACACGGACGTGTCCGCAAATTAGGGGGGCCCTATTCTTGCCCCCAGTCCATCCTGTTGGGAACCCTTATAAAGCGATCCCCAAGTTTCGGAACTCATGAAATCCCTGTACACGACTGTATCATCACAGCTTCCATTTCATTCTCCATTTTCTCTTTTGCTTCTCCCATTGTTCTGGATGCCCCATACAAAGGGATCCCTATAATATGCTAGTATCATATACTATAAAAAGACTTCAATTGTACGTCGTATACGTTAATATACCACACTGCACTATACTTTACTACAATATACCATAAGATACTATAATATACCAAAATATATCATGTATAATATAATACTATAATATATTTTAACATGTTTTTCTCAATTCCAGGCCTTCGTAGATGCTGACGATGAGGGTTTCAAAGGCCGGACGTTGGTTCGGACCCAGGCCCAAGGGCGTCACCGCCGTTTGGATCTGGGGCTTCGGAAGCGGTTTAGGGATTTGGTGTAGGGTTTAGGGATTAGGGTTTAGGGATGAAGGATGAAGGTTTACGGATTAGGATTCAGAATTTGGATCTGGGGTTTTGCATAAAGGGAACACATAGGGTAGGGGTATACTTAATATAGGGGGTGTACAGGGGATATGATAACGGCAGCGATGCTTGCAAACAAGAGCAAACGAGGTCAGATGCATGTTTGTGATCCTCATGCAGAGGAAAAGTCGTAAAAAGACTGACTTTATTGGTACTGTCAATGGTGATGTTAGAAGTCCTATGATAGGATTGCCATTGCGGATCCCCTTCATGCACTTTCTATTTCCGGACCACCAATGCGAGGGCTGCGAGCCTATACTTGTCCTCTGAGGGCCCTTAGAATTAGGTAATCTACCATATCCACTTAACAGACTCATTGCAACCCTTTGGCCCTTTGTAAGTAGACCCTAAACCCTAAATCTGAACCCTAAGCCCTAAACTCTAAACCCTATGCCCTAAACCCTGCACCCTAACCCTACACCCTCAGCCCTAAAACCTACACCCTTAAAGCCTTCAGCAAACCAAGGGTTCACAAAGTACTGATTTCCTTCAGATGGGCGGCTGCTAGGTGCGAGTCGTAGGGGTCCCCTTTTGAGGGTCCCCCTTAGGGTTTAGGGTTTAGGGTTTAGGATTCTCGTATTTTTTGGTATACAAGGGGTACCCCCTAATAAGGAATATAGTAGTTGGGGGTATAGATTGCCAAGGCACTGCAGGAATGTGAGCCGTGTAGCAAACAGATCAGGCCTGGTATAAGTTTTGGGGTTTAGGCGCAGTTTCAGCAGAGGCCGGATGGTACCTACCCCGCTGACATCGCCCTAAACTCTACACCTTAGACCCTGGGCCCTGGACCCTAAATCGGGCTACAATGCGCATCAGGGCCTGCTGGCCCTTGCCATGTCGGATCCACTGTCCTTTCCGCTGTTTGTAGCCGGCCTCATAGGGAGATGCAGGGATATATCGGGGCATGGAAAAGAGAATGGAAGCTACTATATCGGTTAGACGTATCGCATTCTAGGATTGGTGTTGTGAAATTTTGGGGCATGGAGGTTGGGAGGTTGAGGAGAGCCGTGAGCGGATAGATCTCTCATGACATGCATCTGAACCCTAAACCCCAAACCCTAGAACCTAAACCCTAAACCCTAAATCCTAAACGCTAAACCCTAAAACCCGAAGCCTGAGCTATGCATTCCTGAGGTCGGTAGAAGCTCACACCATCCGTGCACTTCAGGGCTTGTATCAAGTTAAAGGTAACATCTGGTATACCAAAACTGGCAGACTCTCAATCATCCGGCATCCATGCGAGTTATAGTCTAAACTCCTGGTATTCCCCTTAATAACCCTTGTACTACTACCCCATAGAGCTCCTTCCAAGGTTCCTTATCTGAATGGTACTGCTCAAAATCCGGGGCCCAAGTACCGCTTTGGACAAGTGCTCACACAACCGCCAAAGCCTTAAAGCCTAAAACCCGAAACCGTAAATCCTAAATCCTAAACCCACACAGAAATGCCTTGACCTCACCGTAGAAGAGGTTTCCGGGAGCCCGCAAACACCTGCAGCATAAGATTACAAGGATGGAGGCGCCGTCCCTAGGGATCTATCCAGCCACATAGGCTTGAGTCTAAACTCCTTAAAGCGGGTTATGTAGGGGATCAGGGTTTAGGGTCTAAAGTCCTTAAAGGGGGTTGTATAGGGGACTATGTAGGGAGTAGTGTAAGGGGTTACTAAGGAGGATACTAGGAGTTTAGACTATAGCTCACATAAGGAAACCCTGCATATTCTGCCTTCCATTTTGATGCTGGTATTTTGCGGACTGATTGAGGCAAACAGCTCTAGCATCTAGCAGCACTCTAATCGGAACACCAAGAATATAGTAGGAATATAATGGGAATATTCTTGGGGTTCGCTGTTTGGGGTTCCCATTAGAACCCATTTGTTTAAACCCTCAACCCTGTAGCATCCAGGGGTGGCACTTTGTAAGAATCTCGGGCTCTTCAGGCTCGTCCTGGTTTTGAAGGTTTGCGGTTTAGGGCTTAAAGTCTAGGGTTCAATGTGATGGGGGGTTTTCATGTATAGGGGCTCCTAGGTATACTTAATTCAATGATTACGGGATTTCCCATGAATAGGGGACGAGAGACCCTTAGATATTATTGTATATTATGGTTCCGTGATACTGGTTCCGCATTGGGGTACTCTCGAAAGCTAGAACTCTATGTTCCCCATTGGGTTTAAACACAACCTGGCCAACTTGTACAACCGAAAATTCTAATTTGACCATGTAGACCCTACGCCCCTAAACCCTAAACCCTAAACCCTAAATGGAGTATAGGTAGCTGCTGGCGGTCCTCGGATTCCTGCACTGGGACCTCCTCCTGACCCAAGGCTTGGTATTTGGGTTTGGGGTTAGTGTTTAGGGATTAGGGTTTGCGGTTCGGGGTTTAGGCTTTATAGGGCTTAGGGCTTCTCTTGGGGACCCTGGGTATTGAAATGCATTGGTGTAAACAGAAACAAGTAGATAGAACTAGAAAAAAAGAAAAGATGAACAGACAGAAGTAGAATATAACCCTTAAGTAGATGGGGATCTTACTATAATACACCAAAAGCCATGTTCTATCTACTTAAGGGGGACTGTACATGGTTCCCAAGCCTTTCTTCATCCATGAGGCTGTGCCTTGCGGGCATCATGCAGCAGCAGTAAAAGCTGCAGCATCAGAAGCAGCAGCAGGAGTCAGAGTAGTAGGGGTCGGAGCAGGAGCAGCAGTAGCAGCAGTGGGAACATGTGGTGGAATCATAGTACTACCAAACAGCATGGCGTCGACCAGGCAAGACTCCTCCACCTTTGGCTGCTGTTTCTTTGGCGCCATGCACTTTTCGCAACCTCGCAGGGCGCAGCGTAAAGACAAAGTCTGAAACAATGCACCAGGCTACTCTCTCGCCTTTCAGCAGACAATGTTTTTGCAATCCCTCTTTCCAATCCATTATGCCCTATTACCGTAAACCCTCTATGTACAAATATATATATATGTTTACTTATATATATATATGTACATATATGAACATATACATATCCCTGCATTATTTCTACCCTTAGACGCTAACCCCGAACCTTAAACCCTGAACCTTAAACTCTTAACCTGAAACCCAGAACCCTGCACATCTTTTTGTTTTTCATAAATGGTAGATTCCCAAAATAGGGGGACCCCAATATACTATAATCATTATTATGGGGAAACCCCCCAAAAAGAGCTCAGGCAGCAGCGCTTCTGGCGGCAGCTGGGAGGTCGAGGATTCGAGCTAGGAGGTTTGCAAGCGGTCGGCAAGCATTGAGCCCAAAAAGGATTACATTAGGGTTATATAAGGGTTACAGTAGGGTTATATTAGGGTTACATTAGGGTTATATGGGGTTACATTAGTGTTATATTGGGGCTATATTAGGGTTATATAAGCCAACAGGGATGGAGAATCAAACCTGCCTGACCGCCCAGTTTCAGGTTTTAAGCTTCAGGGTTCAGGATTCAGGCGCAATCACATCTGCCAAGGCTCACAATTTGGAAGAGGAATCTCGCCTAAATGGGCGTTCTCGCTGTTTGCTGATCTCCTGCATGCCCTTTGCTTTAGGGGTCTCCTACACAATTTCAGGCTTTCTTTGGGCAATTTGGGGGGGTTGTGGTATAATTCCCGAAGATAGTGGGAACCCCAGAAAGACCCTAAAACACTGTAGTTCGCACTATGGGAGGCCCCAAAAAAGATGGATTTGGGGAAGGCCCCACTTTGGCTTCTAGCGAGGCCTGACATGCCCTGCGCACCTGCCGAACAGGTTCAGGTGCAGGCAGCTTCGTCAGATCCTCCACGAGTTGCCCCGCATGGGTTTCAGGTGACTATTATATAGGGGTTATATAGGGATAATGGAAAAGAAAATGGAAACTACCGTTTAGGTTGAGGGTTTAGGGTCTAAATTTTAAACCCTAAGCCCTAAACTCTAAATTGAAATGGAAACTAGGGTTCCGCCGGGGCTGTGAATACATAAAAGATGCCAACAGGGGATCCTGAAGTCTAGAGGTGTTACCTACCTTGGGCTCTTTGGAGCCTTAATTAGGGTTTGGAGTGTAGGGATTTGTGTAGGGTTGAGGCTGTCAGGGCTTTAGAGTTGGCAGTCTGGGTTTAGGATTTAAGGTTTTTTGAAGCTATTCACAGAAATTGTGGGCTCTAGAATTACAAAATGGAAAACAACAACAGGTCCCAAGACGTTGAAGGATACATAGCGTTGAGACCCCACTAGGTTCCCCAGTAACACCTTAATAATCAAAGTACCCGTTTTTGTAATGTTCATTTTCAATAAAGTGACCCCAAAAAAAAGTAGACAAGGGTACTACTGGGGTACGTAGCCCAGACACAATCCCAGCCAGGCTGGATTGGCCGCTGTTACTGAGAGGATGTCCTTGAATCCGCCATCCAATGCTATAACAACTCCAAACAAGTACATGGGCAACGCCCAGACCCTGTAAAACTAGAATCTTCTTAAGGGGAGTGGTTCAAAGGCGGTAGGTAATCTGCTGATCCTAGCACTCCCAAAGGTTCCCTAAGGTTCCGCAATACCTACCCCCCCTAAACCCTAAACCCTAAACCCTAAACCGCGTGGGGTTGCTTAAGCAAGACACACTCATCCTTGAAGTCCCTTGTGCTGCGACAGCCTTCTCCTGAATGATAACCAAACTAGTCATACCACTCATACTACTAATAGTCATAATCGTAATGGGTTACTAGGTATAATGTTAGTAATAAAAATAATAGTGATGGGAATACGTCTCATACTAGTGCAAAAAGCGTCCTTGAACTCTGAGTCCAGTAGCCTGACAGCGGGAGAAAAACAGAAACCCAGAGTGGCTTTGAGTGAGACTCCAAGAAATGCTCAAGGGTTGTTACACTCCCGGAAACTAACATGGAAACCCAAAAAGGGCCCCATAAAGACTACAGTCCTTCTAAAAGGGGACTATATGGGTTTCCATGTTAGTTTGGAGGAGTGTAGGAGGGACCCCTAATAGGGACCCCTAATCCCATTACCTTATATAACCCTTGCATAGGCCTTATATAACCCCCTATAGACCAGGTAGTACCCATATTACTCCAATAAGCTACAAGGGTCCCCATAAGGGTCCCTCCTCAAGAAATGCCATGGCAGTGTGTCGCGCCAAGACCGCTCAGAAAAAGCTGGCCAAGGCTCCCCCTTGAATGGCTTGCTGTTAAGGACCTTAATTTAAGTTACTACTTTGGGGAAACCATATTGACTAGTATGTATACATATACTCATTATGGTAATCTAATTTAAGTTTCTTCTTAACAGCAACCCAGTTGGAGCGATGGAAGAAACTAACTCAACGATTTATTGGAATCGTTTGGATCCTGTATCACTATGCACGCGCGAAAGGTCCGTGCTGCCGCCTGTCCATCGATGGTCTCGAGACACCATGCCAGGCCGTCAAGACGGCCTCAAGGCGTTGAGCATTACCCTTAAAGGGGGTTTATAGGAGATATATAGGGTTGTATAGAGTTATATGGGTATATATAAGTCCCCTTGTTTTGGGAAACTACCGCCATTAATAGGCTTCCACAGGGAGGAACGGGATGCTTCGTTGGTGTTGAATCCACAGTCCACATCTATAGCAAATCATGGACATAGTCCTGCTTCAGTAAATAGAATATGGGGTATTTGGGGATCGTATTGCAATATACCCAAAGCCATATTCTATCTACTTCAGGGGACTATATCCGGAACTCCAATACCAAGCCCCCTTCATTCTTCTTTATCTGTGGTTTAAATCCTAAATAGCTAGATGACGAAACACGTGTGCTTTCCATGGTAGTAATTGTCAGAGAGTACAGGATATGGTGTGTTTCCATAAGTAGGGGGAACCCCATTTATACAAGAATATACTAGAATCCTTATGATATGGCAACCTTCAAAAAATGGTACACCTAATTCTTGGAACCCTAAATCCGGAACCCAAACCGAAACCCACCCTGAACCCTTATAGGTTTGCCTTACCTAGTTTCAATCAAGTTTCGGCCCGAAAGGGATCATCTTACAATCAGGTTTACGTTTCAGTTTTTTTTCTTCGGCTCTTTCAGGGTGTGGGGTTGAGGGTTTGGGTTTTGGGGTTTAAGGTTGAGAGTTTGTTTATAAGGCAAGACAGCATCCCCAAAAGAACAATTGTCATACCGTTGGCCATTCCCCCCGCGGTAAACGCCCTTTGAAGAGCGGTTAAGAGGCTATCTTAACTTCCATTACCTCTTGCGGTAACTGTTACCCTAAGTAGGAATGACCTAAGCAATGCCAAACCTTCATTCCGATAACATCCCCGGCATAGAATCCTTGTAGCAGTAGCGAACGAAGGAAAGTTTGACCGACCCATCGAAGATGACGTAGATTATCCGGCCCAGTTTGAGGTGAAGGTCTCATGCCCACACAATCTACATCGTACATTACTGGTGGTTAGTCGGGAATAAAGTAAGAGGTTATACAGGGATTATATTCCCTTATTCCCTACTCACTGCCAGTAAGTTACGCCAAACCTCTAAACCTAAAACGCCGAGGAACCTGAAGGTCTGCTCTATCGGCCATCTTGTTCCGATAGGCCAACAGGCTGGTAAAGGCCTGGGAGCATAGGAGGCACAGTTCGCGACGGCAATCATACGAACATGGGCTTTCTGTTGGGGTTATGCAGGTATGAGCTTAGGAGTTTTCCGCCACATGCTGATATCAAGTATGGTCACATATGTCAACTGATTTCTCAAAGATGATGCGTGAGCATTTCTTTGGTGATAGCAGGGAGGAAGCAAATTCACTCCATGCTCTCCGTACCAAGGTTTAGGGGTTTCAGGGTTAGGGTTTAGGCTAAGTACCCAAAATCATGTTGCCGTGCCCGAGTGTCTTAAGCAGCTTTTCACTATGTATCGGGACCTCATGCAAAACTCGTGTCATGCCGTGACCATTCATGGCTTGCGATTCTGACACTTGTGCATATCTCCTTTTATATACCGAAGCCCAGTTTCCGTTTCATCTTACATGTTTTCATCCGTCTGATTGAACCCTCGACCCGGTTTATCAGATCTCCTAGGGAATCTGGATGGAAAGGCACACAACGTTTCTTGCATCCGCGCGAGACATGTGCGATAACTGAAAGGTCATCAACCATCTGATCCTCTGGAGGGTACCCTGGTGTTTGCTAGGAGCCCCCCAAAGAGGCCAGAATTTCGTCAACCTTCTACTCAACATGATCCTTTATGTAGTTCTTCAGAAGGACCCGCCAATAATCCTATACAATCCCCAAAAAACTCTAGGGTCCCCAGATTACCCTAAGCCCTAAAACCCTGAAACCCTAAACCCCAAAACACCAAATCCTGAAACCCTAAACCCTGCTTTTGAGGACCCCCCGAAGTGAAAGTTCAACTCTGGGCCCTGGACCCGTCGACGTCGCGACTGCATCTTCCAAAGGACGAAGACCACCTTATGGTGTAGGGTTTGGATTTTGAGTTTAAGGTTCGGATTGAGGGTTACTGTTTGGGGGTTCAGGGTATACGGTTATGATTGCTACCACATGATTGTTCCCATCCAGGGTATGAGGAACTACTAGTGCCCATTATACTAGAGGTAGAAATTAGTAAGAACTACCAATTCTAACAGAACCCTCATACAACCCTTTAAGGCAGTGACTGTCAAGCGACATGACCCAACTTATATTGGAATAGTAACCCGATTTATTATACCACTTTGTAGCTTCCACCTGCGCTCCGACTCACGCCAAGCAATGGTTGATGAAGGGTATACCTTGCACTGCACAGGGTCTCTGGAGCACTGTCAGTCCTGGGGTTTCATGACGT